TCGGCTGTTTATTTCTGCGCTGCCAGCACACAGTGATGTGGTTTAATGCTGCTCCCTCACTAAAAACCCTCAGCATTTTCTGCAAGTGGGGTGTTATAGATGTGCACATGAAGTCATATTCTTAGAGTAGCAGAACAAACCAAGGGGACAGAATTTTTCCATATCTTAGTTCTAATGTTTGTTACTGCATGTAATGAAATAAAGAGAAAAAGTTAACTTTGACTAATAAGTTTATCTGATAATTACAAACACACCGCAGCATAGCTTATGTATCTTTTGCTGTTTAAACCCAGAGATGATGGAAAGAGTGAACACCAGAATGAACGAACAACAATCTGTGCCACATTACAGATTTGCAGTCCTGGATAACTATTGATGACTGACACTGTACTTTCTTCCTCATTCAAACATGCAGGCCAGAAGGGGGAAAAAAGAAAAGAAAGAAAGAAAAAGAACCACTGAATTTAGTGCAGCCTCTTATAACAGCAAAACGGTCCAGTGCATTCTTCTAACTGCTTATTAGATTTACATGGTAGTGAGGAATAGGTTTTGACTACGACTGCAAACAAATTTACTTCACTAATCAACAATTTGGGGTTTTCTTGATTCAACAGCCCTCTTCAGGTCATCCCAGAGCATTTCAAGGCACATTCAGCACTATATGATTTGGCTGTTCCAAACCATGCATGTTCTTCGTTGAACTAATTCTGTTTGTTTTATTTAGGTTCTTCTGGTTATTGTTAGACCAACTCCTCCCAAGCTAAGGTCACAAACTGCTCAGTTCACAGAACAGAACATTTCCGTGCATCACTCAGGTGCGATCTTTGTAAGATGCCCACTCTAAAGTAGGGCAATAAAGGTCTTAATAAGCAACAAAAATGAAGCCCATCCAAAATCAATTTGTACCTGCAGTATGTTAAAAATTCAGCTGACATAGAGCCATGCAGCTAATCAACAACCTAAGTAATGAGGTCGTTGGGGTCAAAGGTTATTTCTGAAATAAGTGAATCTTTTTCAGAAATAACTGAAATTAACATGAAATATTGATCAATAAATAGTTACATTTTTAAAATGTTATGTAAATATAGTATTGTCAGTACAATTGTATGTGAAGAGGAAATCTCAAGTAGGAGAGAGGAATGTAAGATGACAGGAAGAAGGAAATACAAAGCTTGATTCAAAGTTGTTGTGCTACTGAAGAACTTCAGATTCTTCGGCTTTTCCCGACTTTCTTTAGAATGACATTTAACTACTTTGCTGTACACAAAAACCAAAAGCATTAGCAAGCTGAAATTATCAGGGCTAAATGTTACCTTAGCATTAAACACCTGATGAACAACGACTACTACATGTTACCAAAGTAAATGGGGGCTTACCTTGGTAAGAAAATAAAACAGCATTAGCTTTCCGGAAATAAGTAGCCTTTCAGAAAACTTCCAGTCCGCAGGTGGATGTTGGTGTGTGAGAAAAGCTGCAGGAAAGGGGACTGGGAAGGATCCTCCACGCAACCCTTCTAAGGAGAAATTACTAAACTCTCGGCTTTAGAAATGCAGTACAGAATATTAGGCCTGTTTATGATACTGGATATATTCTAGTAGGTAAGGGGTTAGAAATTAGGCAACTGAGAGGCATAAACCAATGCAGAACTTAATTTAAAAGACTTAATTTAAAAGAAATGAAAAAAACGTGGGCTCTAATTAGGTCAAACCCTGCAGCAGCTACAGGACATTCATGCAGCCACGCCTCCTGCAGCCACGTACAGGTGACCGCTGGGTGTGTCCATCAGAGGCAAGCGCTGGGTCAAAATGTTGGTGTCAACAAAAAGACAAACAATTTGATGCGTTTGTATACACGTGTTGTCTTACGTTGCTTTGTTTTCTTCTGGTTGGGGTTTTTTAACAGCTCCTTTTAACACTCAACCCCATTTCACCAGCTCTCTTTAACCCGTCAGCACCATCAGTTAGAATGAATAAAGATGAACTAAATTAACTAAAAATATGTATGAAAATGAAATTCTAGCTAATGAAAAACGGGAAAATAGAAAAAACTAAAACAATATTCTCAACTTACAAAGCTATCTACAAAAAAATACATTTTGAAAAACATCTACAAGAAATGTATTTAATTTTTTTGACAGTTTAGTCAAATATCACAACCAGCCTTTTATTTATTTATTTAGACTTTAGATGTGATTTAACTGACTGTGAGTCCACCAGCTCAACGAAGTGTCTACTCCTGAGATCCCTGTTATTAGAAAAAAAGTTTCAGTCAATTAGACAAATAAATGAATTGCTCGAAAAAAAGAAATAAACCCAAGAAAAAAAAAACAAAAATCAACCCAATTGTAAAATTTAAAAAAATTAAATATGAATATAAAAAATTTGACTACAAAGGAAATACACAAAC